AACATATGTATACAATCATGTGTGCATTTTTGTTTACAGTTCAAAAAGCAGTTCTTATTTCAAAATTTTTTAAAAGTCACACTTTTGTTTTTTTAGTCTGGTAATTTTAGTTTCATTTTTACATTTCATCTTTGCTCTTCCTGTAATTTAGGTTAGTATAAGGAATGAGATTGGGATTCAGGTTATTCTTCCAAATGGCCAAGCAGTTGTCTTAATGCCATTTATGGAGTCATCTGTCTTTGAAATGTCAGCCTGAAGATGTGCTAAAAACCCAGATCTACTTTAGTCCATTTCTAAAGTCTTTATTCCATTTCATGGATTGACTTGTTTCCCTATTCCTACAGTAGGACTATAGTGTTAATCACATTTTTCAAAGACACTTTATTTTTGTAGTCTATTTATTCTGTCATTGACTGAAAATATATCTGTGAATTCCCCATTGCATTTCCAGTTGGATTTTATTCTTACTGTATCATCTGCCATATAAAGACCCATCATTATTATATTAAATCAGGGAATTAAATTTTTACTGATATAAAAATGACCAAATCTTTCTTGCTCCAGACTCTGTTTGTTTTTTTAAGAATTTATTTATTTATTCATGAAAGACACACAGAGAGAGGCAGAGACACAGGCAGGGGGAGAAGCAGGCTCCCTGTGGAGAGCCCAATGAGGAACTGGATCCCAGGACCTGGGGTCCCAACCTGAGCCAAAGGCAGATGCTCAACCACTGAGCCACCCAGATGCCCCTCTTGCTTAAGACTTTTTGCTGGAATTCTAACTGGATAGATTCTAAAGTAGTTTCTCATGCTTTCTTTTAATGTTCATTTCCCAAATATACCTTTCCTGAATTTATATTTTTTAAACCTTTACTATTTTTTAAAATTAATTCAACCCAACTGGTTTTTACACTTAATAAATTAACCTAATTACCTTTCTTTCATAACTACTTGCCTGTGTTTCTGTTGTCTTATTTGATATATTGTGCTTTTGTTACACTGCTACTTACTTTTTAAAATTATTTCCATTATTGAAAATACTCATTTTTGGTATGAAACATACCAGGAAATTGAGAGAGTATCTTCCCTTAATTCTATTGTGATTTAATTCTATTTGTGATTATCATTAAATTTTTCAAAGGTATTCTTAACCCTAACTTATATTGTCAGAATCTGTAGCAGAACACGATTTTTACTTTTTGACTACCTTTATGGAAATCAGCTTTTGTGCAACCCTCCCTACTCCCCACCATAATCCTGATTTATAAATTCTGGCATTGATACTTCTTTCCTTTTTCTCTCCCTCCTTTCTTCCTTCTTCTTTTAACTAATCTTTAAAAATGTAACAAAATATAGGAAAGTGAACGAACAATATTGAGAGTTCAGTTAAACAACCAAAAGCAAATAGAGAAACTATACTTTCTTATAGTTATAGAAACTATGTATCCATCCAGTCCAGAGGACTGGACCATGGGCCAATCAGAACCTCCTCCTTAATCACCAAAATTTAATCAGCACCTTAACTCAGAGTAATCACTACCTAGATTCCCTTTATTATTTTTCCACTCAAGTATGCCTTTCTAAATAGCATCACTATCTTTTCCTGCTTTTTCAATTTGATATGAGATATTGTACAATATATATGCTTCTGTACCTTCTTTGATTTAACATTATGCTTGTAAGAGTCATTCATGTTTTAGCCTGTAATTTTAGTTGTAGTTCCAATGAGACTTCTTCCTCTTTATATCTATTTCCCTGTACCTGTTTTTTTCCTCTGTTTTTGAAATTTTTCTGTTTATCACTGATGTTGAACAAGATGATGATGATGTACTTAGTTATAATTTATGTTTCTTGTGCTCCGAGGTCATAGAACTTCATAGAACTGGATATGTGGATTCACAGTTTTCACCGAAGTTTTGGAAAATTTCAATCATTTTTACTTCAAATATTTTTTGTCTTCCTTTTCCATGCTTTGCCTTCAGATATTTCGATTTATGTATATTGGGCTTGCAATTACCTTTATAGTTCTTTCATAGCTCACTGATTATATTTTTCTTGTTTTCAATCACTTATTCTCTTTGTGTTTCAATTTGGATGGTTTCTATTGCTACTTCTTCAAATTCACCACTCTTTTCTTCTTCAGTGACTAATCTGCCATTATTCTCATCAGGTGTAATTTTCATCTCAGACATTTAGTATTTCATCTCTAGAAATTCAATTTGTATCATTTTATACCTTTAATGTCTCTAATTAACATGGACAATATTCCTTTTAGCTTTCAGAAGATATGGAATATGATTATAATAACTTTTAACATGGCCTTTCACATTAATTACACAATCTGTACCATTTCTGAATTGATTTGTATTAATTGATTTCTCTTCTCTTATATGTCATACTTTCCTGCTCCTTGTCAAGAATTGGTATCATCAGTACTCATTTAGACTTATCAAATAATTACCATTTACCTTGCTTTTTTTTCTTTTCCTTCATCTTTTTCCTTCCATCTGGTATCAATACCCTCCTACCTGAAGAACACCAAAATTCTCTGTTGGTGAACTTTTCTTTTTTTGGCCTGAAATTTGCTTGATTAAAGTTATTTTTGAAACACACTTTTTTTTGGCTTAGAATTCTTGGTTGGCTATTATTATGCTATATTGTCTTATTTCTATTGTATCTATTAAAGTCAGATATCAGTCTAATTGTTTAAGGATTTCTTTTTAGATGTCCTGTTTATCTTTGATTTTCAGCAGTTGTACAGTGATGGGCATACTTGTGGATTTATTTTGCTTAGAGTTCAAAGGGTTTTAGGAAGATGTGATCTGATGTCTTTCATCAGTATAGGTCATTTCTCAGCATAATTATCTGAAATATTGCTTCTGCTCAATTACCTCACTCCTTTCTGTCTGGGATTCCAATTGAGTTACCATTTATCCTCTATATTTGTTCCCTTTCTTTAGTGTTTATCATTCCTTTTTTTTCTCTACTACTTTTATTTTGGATATATTCTTCTGACCTAACTTCTAGTGCACAAATTCTCTTTCATCTGTGTGTAATATGCATTTAAACCATGAATCTATTCATTGCATTCTTCATTTCAATTATTGTATCTTTCACTTCTAGACTTTCTTTTCTTTTTCTTTTATGATGCTTTGTTTTGAATTTCCACTTCTCAGCTAATTTTTTCAATGCCATCTTTATCCTCCTATTAACAGCAGGAAAATTATTTTATACTTTATGTTTTAACTGTAATACTTTCAGCCCAAATGGGCCTATTTCTTTTTTAAAAAAGATTTTATTTATTTATTTATTTATTTAGAGTGAGAGTGAGAGAGCACAAGCAGGGGGAATGGCAGAACCCAACCTGGGGTGGATGCTTAATCAATTGAGCCACCCGGGTGCTCTGGGCATGTTTCTCTTGACTTTTTTTTTATGTTACCATGTTTCATTTTTTCTGGATTTTGTGTGTGTGTGTGTGTATGTGCTAGACATGCTGGAAATTGTGGCTAAGAACTCGTTTTTGTAAATGGTTTTACATTGGTTTTTCTCAGGTGCCTATGGGGAATAGTAATCTGGGTTGGTCTTCATTTATTTTGAGGATTGAGATGATTCAAAGATGGGCATCAGTCTTTCAGAAAGTTGGTCTCCTGCTGCTTGATTCTTTCTGCTAGGATACATATCTTTAGGGTTTCAACAAAGAAACCAGGGGGTTTACTGTGGGCCCTTGCCCTTTTCAGCAATAGGACTCTGGATACCTTTTGCAGAATCAGCAAATGACCAAGAAAAAAAAAAAAGTTCTGAACTCACATCTCTGGATATCTATTTTCTCCCAGAACCTAGCCTGACAATTTTTCACTATCCTGTTAGTTCTCTGGTGCCTTTAAACAGACTCCATACCTTTTTGTTTTTGGTGTAGTTTGTCTAGTTATCTTCAGGGAGAGTAATGGTCTAAGTTATTTAGACTTTCATTCCTGAAAGTAGAAGTCTCTCCTTTTTCCTTCTCATTTTAAAGCAACATATACTGTAATTTTCAAAGATAAAAACGTACATTTAATTAAGGTATTCTGATCCTAATTTGGAAGCAATTATTTCAACATTTTCATACATTTAATGAGTCTCTTATCACATACTTCTTTCCAAGTGTGACTTTCTCAGTCTTAACTTTTTCCTTCCTTTCTATATTTATTGGTTTTGCACAGGATTTCTGTTAGTTTACTCACAGGAAGGATACTTGGGTGGCATATTTTCTTAATCTATGAATTCCTGAGAAAATGTTAGTCTTGACTTCATGCATGAGTAGTAACAACTTCACTAAATATAGAAACTGTGTACTTTAGAGCAATGGAAATGTTCATCCATTTCATCTAGTGTTTAGAATTGTGGAAGAAGAAAGGCAAGGCTAATCTGATTTTGGTGATTTTGTTTGTAACCTGATTTTGATTTTCTTATGTGCTTTCAAAGCCTTTCATTATCACTGATGTTCAGAAATTCCATGAGGTTTTGTAGATTTCTGTTCCTATTTGAGTTTTCAGTATCTTTGTCCATAAATAAGTATGTATACTCTTGTGTTTTGGGTGGAGGAACTGGTTTACATTAGGAAAACTTTTTTCTGTTATTTTTCTAAAGATTGTTTTCATTTTTGTTTGTTCTAGCCTCTCTTCTTGGTATTCCATGGATATGTAGATTTAATCACCTAGATGTATTGTCTATATGTGTCACATTTTTCTCATTGTTATCATTTCTTCATTTCTGTAGTTGCAAATCTGATGCCTATAGAGTTTAGGCAGGTAACAATAATAAAGTCAGCCTGGTACAAAAATAGTGAATGATGAGGATAGCGGAGAGCAAATTTCCTTTCTAAACTTGGCAGCTACAAATCACTTGATATTCATAAAAATAAAATATTACCATATTCCATTTTTCCCAGAAAAACTAAAATCTGTTTTTTAAATGTAATATTTCTCAGCAGAAAAAAAATTAAAAAAGGACCTTGCAACTTACCATTAGGATGATCTTGGTCACATCCAGAATGATCTGTTACTTCATTGTCTTCTGTGATATTCTTGTCCTTTGCAGAATCTGCCACAAAAAATAAGCAAAACATCTAGTCAGTATTTTTAACTGGGAAATAGAACAGCTTCCAACACTGTCATGATATATCTATCTTTGGGAGATGGAATTTATTTATTTTTTAAAATACCATTAAAATACTTAGATATTTTCATAGTAAATAAGCTGTTCCTGAAGTTACTGCGTAAGAGGTCTTGTACAAAGTTTACAAAGGTAGGATGATACAAATTTGATTGGGTCATCTTTTTGCAACGAAGAAGAAAATGTAAGCAGGTTTTATGCATTAATGAAAGTCTTTGGAGAATTGTGCAAAAGGATATGAAAAGAAGGCAAAATAGGGGAGATTAAAGGAATATCAATTTTAATGTTCTTAATGCTTCCATTACTGCAATTGTTCATATACAGGAGCCTTGAGTCCTTGAATAAGCCAGATGTAGAGCTTTGATATCCAGTTGTAATTAAGTTCATCTTCCTGAGGCACACTACCAGTAGAACAATAGCAAAGGGGAATGCAAACCTTCTGTTTTGTGCAATTTCATCCTCTCCCTCATATAGCACATTTAAATGTGAAATCAGCATAAGTTCATCTTTTTTTTTTTTTGTTATATGATATACTTGCAGGAAATAACATGGCCAAATAGATTTCAATGACTATGGACTGTTGCAAGACTACGCAGGATTCCTTGTTAGATGTTTGAGGCCTTTCTGTAGACTCTTTAGAAAGCCATCATAAAGGGCATGTGGGTGGGTCAGCAGGAAGACTTAAATTGGGCCTTTTATTCCCTCCAAAAGTATTTATTAAGGGACAACTCTATGTTAGATACTTCTTGAGGCTAGGGAGTCAATACTAATTGACTCTGCCTTCATACAGGTTACAATCTAGGGGATATTTTTTATGCAGCTAAAAGAGTGGTAATCCAAAGATATCTAAAAGTCATGAGCTTATCTACTATGCATATGGCCATGGAGCAAACTGGGCATGGCAGGCTGCCACTTCTGTTACCTAAAAATGGGTCCCTTACTGAGTTCACATTGCTCCATTGAATTGTAACACCCAACAGAGCTGAATCAGAGTCTCAAAGCATACTTTCTTTCCTTTCTCCTTTTACCCCTCTCTTTCCCCACACTAGGAGATAGTTTTAAACAATGCAGTTTGGAATATTATGAGAAAGTCTGTTTCTTGAACCTGCCACAAGCAACATTTGATGGACAAGTGAGAAACCTGGATAGTTAACATATAATTCAAATTTAATAACCAGTGAAGCAAGTATACACCCAAAGTGTATGATTTTAATTAACTGCAAATAATTCCCCCAAGGCAAATGTTTAATTATCTGTGCAGCTTATTTCTTTCTGAGACTGACAATAAGTTTCAAAGTCCAAATTTGGAGGCAAAACTGAGCATAGACAATAATTTTCCAAACTGTTCTCTCACTCTAGTCAAATTGTTTTAAACCAGTTCCCATTAAAACATGCCTTTTTAATTTTTGGCTCTAACATGTGGATTTATTTTATTTTATTTTTTTTTTTGTTAAGTTTTTTTTTTTTTTTAATTTTTTATTTATTTATGATAGTCACAGAGAGAGAGAGAGAGAGGCAGAGACACAGGCAGAGGGAGAAGCAGGCTCCATGCACCGGGAGCCCGATGTGGGATTCGATCCCGGGTCCCCAGGATCGCGCCCTGGGCCAAAGGCAGGCGCCAAACCGCTGCGCCACCCAGGGATCCCTAACATGTGGATTTAAAGAAAAAAATTCTTGAATACTTTTTTCCTACATTAACACTGAGGTGAGCAATGGTTTTAAAAAGGTACTGTATGAATCAGGCTAAATTTTAATTTCAAATATTTTACTTATTTATGAAAAATGGCATCATTTGATAACTAGGCTTGGGCTATACTCATTTCTCTCAACATTAATATTTTAAGATTATCCAAGATTTTGCGTGTAGTTAAAATGTGTTCATTTATACTCAACAATAATTCATTATACTTCATAACTTACATAAACATTATGCTTCATGCATCAAATATTACATAAGAAATGTCTTTTAAAAAGTGATTTACATTGAGTTTATGAGTTTATGGTCTAATGATTCACATAAGATGGGTGAAAGTATTTGAAAAATTAATCTCTGGACTGTCACCAAAATCTGTCTCTTTAGCAAATTAATTGACCCTTCAGTTTCAATTTCCTTGGAGAGTCGTTTTAATATTGCTAAGGTGCCTTCTGCTCTCATGTACTCTAATCTATATATAATACACTTCATTGAATCTAAGACACCATCAATTGTTATTTTCATTATTATTTTGTGTAGGATTAAGAAAAAAATGCTACCAAATGAACTGTACCATACTATTAATTTAAGAAAGTGTCAGTTTTAGAAATAAAATATACAAAAGACTCTGTATCCTAGAAATATTTGAGTATATTCTGTGTGTACACAAATATATGTCTTTATGTGATGGCAAGGATTTCCTATCAACCTGACCCATCACCAAACCCACAAGTTACTTTTGTTTTGTATCTGAAATGGTTCTGCCTCTACATACAGCAATAAAGCAAGATAAAAGCTATAAGCTCATGATGGCATCCACACATGACTATGTGGCTCTGAGCTTGTTTCCACTGAAGTTTCTCTTTTCAAAGGGCTCTTTGAATTCCTAGTCACATGAACTTTGAGAAGACTGGATATGGTCCTGAATGTTTTAAATCATAGATCCTATTATGTTATACTTAGTTGTGGGTTTGAAATGACAGCAGAGCTTTTCTGACTAGGAGGTGATGAAAGTTGCACTGTATATGAATATAAAATCATTTTTCATCATAAGAAAGAAACATATTGAGTGTATATGGTCACTAAAAGAGCTTGTTATTTCTATGTAAGTTCTATAAACTATCATGAAAAATGTATTTGTATACACTAAATCCTTGCAGCACCTTCGATTCATATTTTATTTAATTCTAAAAATTATCATTTGGTAATGTTCAGAAAAGGGAAAGGAGTTATCACCTAATTCTGAGATTTAGTCAATGTTATTTTAATAGCAGAGAACTGGAATTAAATGTATATGTAGATTGTGACTTTCAAAATCTTTAAGGTCAATGTTCTTTTTTTTTTTTTTAAGTTTTTTATTTATTCATTGAGAGACACAGAGAGAGAGGCAGAGACAAAAGCAGAGGGAGAAGCAAGCTCCATGCAGGGAGCCTGATGCAGGACTCGATCCTTGGTCTCCAGGATTCCCGTCCTGGGCTGAAGGCAGAGCTAAACTGCTGAGCCACCAGGGTTGCCCTAAGGTCAATGTTCTATTAGAAAAAAATTTCAAATGCAAATATTAAGTTGAATATTTGAACCAAAGTTTTAAAGATGGATCTTTTAAGATTAACAATAATAAATACTTCCAGAAATTAAAAAATCATCTCATTTTGAAAGTTGAAAAGGTTTAAAAGAATAGTTAAAATAGATTGAAATTTTAAAAATATAAAACAGAAATTCTAAAAAGCAGCTCATTTTTAATGTAGTCAATTACACATGCCTATACAGAATAGTACATGTATATATTGAAGATGTGATGATGAATGATGAAACTTGCATTTTTAATAAACATCTAAGCAATAAATCAAAATAGATGCTATTTCTGTCAAAAATGCACCTTAAAACAAAAATTCTTAATCTTAATTAAGAACTTAGTTCTTAACCTCTGAATATACTCTAAAGGTATGAATCAGTCTGTAAAACATGCACACATATTGTTGCATTCACTTTTCTCGAAGGCGAAAGCTCTTGTCATATTCTCATAGGGACCCATGACCCCAACAAGATTAAAAATAGCTACAGAAATTTATACCCTACTGCCTGTGACACTGCCATTTTACAAAGGGTTTTTAGGATTACAATTGAGAATCAGCTACAGAGTTTGGTGCCCACTCCATAAATTCATCAAGGATGGCACTTCTTGAATTCTTAAGGTAGATTTGACTTGAGGAAATAGCCCAAACATACACAGATATGTTTAATAAATGAGGAGGACAATCTAGCTGGTAAACAACATTTTGCACCAAAATTTGAAATGACCAAAAATATGAAACTGAATGGATGACTGTCTTTGAAAACCATTTTCAAGTTAGGAGATGTACAAAATCCATCTAGTAATAAAGGTAAGCCCTGACCACTATTTAGAGTTGCAGTAGAAGGTCATTTTGGTGTAAAAGTTCCAAGGGGTCTAAACAAGATAAATGCTATTTGCAAACCCCCAAGCCTGAAACATTTGCTCTGTAGCATGTAAACATTCATCCACAAGTCTCCTACCTTTATACAACAGTTGCACAGAAATCACAATTGCCTGGATTTCCTCTGATTCTTGTAAACTGATTCAATTACACCAAGCAAAATATTTATCCCAGCCTCCTTATTTGAATGGCTGGTTTATTATGTGAAGCAATTAAAATAAAGTAGTTTTTCCTTCACCTGAACAGTGTGTTTATCCAAATAAATTAGTGTCTCCACAGCCGATTATGACCTCATTGAAGCTTTGCAGTGACTATTCCTCTATATAGGTGAAATGTGTCCTGCAGTACATTCCCAGAGTATTCAGATGGCAATGATCTAACCTATGCTAGTTTCAGTGCAGCTGGACATACAAAGCTGATCTATATTTACCTGAAAAGTAACCAGGTCTGCAGGACAGGACATTTCCCTTAGCATTGGGAGGCCAGACTCCCAGACTCAGTTGGTCATTTGTCTTCATTATGCAATCATTAACCCCCATTAAAAGGGGGCCAAGCATTCCCAGAGTTATGGAATGGGGGTACTAACAGTCTCTGAGACGCGACTGGCAAAACTACCATCATGTCCCACCAACTGTTTCTGTTAGAAAACACACACCACATTCCAAACAGTAACTTTGTGTAAATCAGCTTATTCCTACATTGAGGTGTAGGTGTAATTTCTCTGCAGGTGGTTACTGAAAATACAAGCAAAAAGGAGGATCAGTCTTGACAGGTGGATACAG